GACCTGCAGCATGCAACATGTCAGTGGCGGGGCGCAAGAGGGCAGGCGCTGACCTCCAACAAAAAGAAGAAGTAATTTTATCTGAATACAAGAGTTTTTCTTTTCGAAATCCGAATAAGGGTACAGGTATTCGAATACAACCTGTACATTTTCTATTCGAGGAAACGGTGGTATTCGAGAAAAGTGCACCCGCACCGTTTCAATTTCGAAAAAGGCTTCAGGACCGCGGCCTCCTCAGCCTCCTCCGTGCAGCTACCGGTCCTACGCAGTCCTGGCCCTTGCAAGGCCCCAAAACCTCAAAATGCCGACCCTCCCGACGACCACGACATTGAAATGACGTTGAACGTTGAAATGTCTCAGGGGGGGAAAACGCAACCCTGACGGGCTGCTAACAAAGCGCTTGATCACTTCCTGGAGCGGCGCTCACATCGGTGCCAGGTGGCGGATCATCAGATCCAGTTCAGTGGGATCGGTGACGACGAGAACATGCAATCCACGCTGCACACTCTTGGCACGACACGTGGCACGACACTTGAAATGACACGTGGCACGCCTGTACCAGCTGGGTCGTATCATATGTACCCCCAGGGGTATGGCGAGCTGCAATGATGTCAAGATGGCACTTTACCGAGGACATTTTCGCAATACCAATTCATTGAATGAATTGCGAAGAGGAGCATCAAAACCCTTGTGCAGATGAAGGTAATGGGGTGGGGGGAGAGGGGGGGGGGGGAGGAGGGGAGGAACATGTGCTTAAAGGTTCAAATATCATACGCGTACGTTCAATAACGGCAAACCCGCCCTTAGTGTGCGGTAAGGACCTCGTCTACTCACGAAAGGGGCAAACTAGAGAATGTAAACGCCGCCGCTGGAACGTAGAAACATTCAGCCCCCATTGTTTTTTGTTTTTCTTTAGAGGAATGCGCCGCGCTCTGGTGCAGTGCAACAGAGGCAACACTGGAGAGGTCGGGTAAGCAAGCCCATAGTTGTTGCCCTTTTCACATTTGGTGCGCGGTGCACGTGCGGAGGCTGTAAGCATCTGATCCCACCACTGCACTACCAATGTAGTGGCAAAAAAGTATCGACTTACCGTGAGGGCACGGGTGCGCAGGCCGTAGTTTGTATTTGCTCGATTGATAAAGGAGGCGTGATTGGTGAGGTTTAGAAGTAGGGTACATGAAAAAAAAGGAGTATTTGTGTGTATTTGTCAAGATTAGTGTGTGTGTGTGTTTGTGTGATACTTAGGGTGTTTGTGCTTATCACATCTGTTAGTGTTGGAATGTGTGGGATTTAGGTAATTTGAATGGTATTAATGTTTTAGATATTTGACATACCTTGATTCATAGTTGGTGTCGAGACTGGTGGTCCTTGAATCTTGGTCCATAGAAACGGCCGGAAAAGGAAGAAAAAGACAAGGGAGCGGAATTTTACCGCTCCCTTTTGCGCCAGGTTCGCGCAAACTTTGGGGCGGTCGCTGAAGGGTATGGAATTTTCAAGCCTCGGCGTCAGATTTGTCAAGCCCGCGCGGGTGTTCTAGCGCGGTGTCGCCGATTGTCGGCTTGGCCGAGGGAACCCAGGTTCGAAAGCTAGCCGGGAGCGCGCCTGCGTTGTGGGAGAGTTCTGGGAACCGAGCCGCACCTTTGTATCCCAGGACTAGTCTTCGCCAGGAACACGAATCCCCCTGTCCACACCAGCGGCAGTTAAACCGAGGCCGCCATGTGGCGTGGGCTGCGGACCAGGGCAACACAGTCAGATCGGTGTAGGGCAGTATCAGGGGAGGGGAAGAGAACCGATCAGTCGACACAAACCCACTCCCTCCTATATGACAGGACTAAGCGAGGTTATACAAACGAATCTGCTCGGTTCGTCGCAGAGTGCTCCGCACATCCGCGTCGCAGTACATGCTATCATCGTTTGCGATCGGGAAGGACGACAGCACGCCACGATGGACCGATGCAACGTTCGAGCACGGGCAAGGGCCCGCGCTCGCGTTTGTCAAGACGGACGCCGACTCAATGCAAAGATCAATGGGACTCACCTTGCTCTCTCTCTCTCTCTCTCTCTCTCTCTCTCTCTCTCTCTCTCTCTCTCTCTCTCTCTCTCTCTCTCTCTCTCTCTCTCTCTCTCTCT